ATCTCGGCATGCGATGCCGTGTTATTTTACTACAACAAGTGGCTCTCCAACATTCATGATTTCTACTTGGACATCTTCAACACATATCTTCAATCAAGCAATGACTATTCGACGACAAGAGGCTACAGTTCTCGACTCTATGTTCAGTTGTTTCCCAACTAATCAAAGAGTCGGGGGCTACACAAATACAAGGCTCAAAATTTTGACAAATTTTATGTCAAGCTGAAGAAATCAATTCATCAACCCACGAGTCAACTCCAGGAGTCATTATCTTCATCTTTGCTTCGGAGCAGACATTCTACTTCAACAACTTCAAATATTTCGGTTTAGACGAGTTGGGCAACAACATCAACTCTTCACGGTTGACCTACTATGCAAATGCTGATGAGCGTCTTTGTCATTATCATTGGTTGCTACACTGCTATTGGCTGGATCACCGACATCGTCATCTTCATCATGTCGGTTGCGTTTGTCGTCGTCAACTACACAACTTTATCGCTGAGCGCCTTCATATTCATTGCTGGCTGACCTGACTGCCGCCAACTGGTTTCTTCGCCTCCATGGCTATGCGACTTCAGTACTTTTGATTGGTATCACTATCTTCACTACCACCAATATTTTTGCCACCTCTGGTGGGCAATATTCTCTCTATATTGGTTGTCTTGTCTCTATGCCAACTGCGTCAGCTACCATCAATGAACAATTGTGACTACGTGCTCAGGGGCTTACTAGCTCAAATACAAGTATTATATCTTCAATTTGGACTTGCTCCGGATACATGCAACATGAATTCATGATCATGGGTCTATTTTATATGCTCAAAGACTGGACTATTTATTATTCCCCGTAAGGGTTATCAACTGAATACTTGCGCCAGTCGGGATTCAATTGTTACATCTATTTTGGAGTATCCCATAAGGGATAACCACTCGGATCAGAAGCTATTCATATGAGCTACGCTTGGTCTATATTACCCGGAAGATTTATTACTCGGGAGCATGTTATATGCGTCATCCTTTAAAGGGTGTCGAAGGCATATGTTTTGGCCTAGGCCTAATATGTCTGCAGCCCATATTTTCAGGTGTGGCCTGTCACGTTCTTTTAGGGACTTAGGCACTTTTTGCTTAGGCCAAAGTGCGCGTGATCAAGTGCCCAATACCTTAAAATTCTTTTATACCGCAGTTACTTAACTTTTTAGGAGTTGGTACAATGCATCTTAAAAGGTGTCAAACAGTAAAGCTTTATATAGCTGTCCCGCTGACTTTTTTATATATAAGTCAAGGTGTTGTTTGGGTTTTTAAGCAATTGATTGGATACAATATCATTGCTTTTCGCCACGTAAGTGTGCATTTTTATTGACCAATATTATGGCTTAGGCTGATTATATATTGTGGTCATTTTCTAGGCGGTTGGTAAATCCTTTATAAGTTTATTTACTTGGATTTTATACCACATATGCCATATATTTCCAGGTGTGGTGGAACCATGTGTCTTCTAGGGACTTAAGCACATCTGTTAAAGCAGTGTGCGCATGGCGTATGCCCAATACTTTGGAAATTTCTTTATTCACAACATACAAGCTTTTTTATAGCTGTTTTGCTATGTGAATTTTCAATAATGTAGCCAACTTTAGGTTACACTCATCATATTTTGCAAAGCAGTCGGTATATCACTCGGATCATGTTATTCAGGGATTTACACCGCATATGCTACATATTAATATCAAGTTGCTTGGTTAATTACGATTATCAAAACCACTTGGTTGGTTGGATTATTTATTCCTTGACTATATGCTTGGTTTGTTCAATTAACCACATTGTCAGGGGCTACACCTATTAGGTGCATCTAGTCGATGCACCTGACTATATTTTTCAGCCCTCCACAGTCTTCAGATTTGGTAAAAGTACTCGGGAGACCATGGCGAAGATGATTGAAGCACTCGGCTTTGGAGTAATCTAGTTCGAGAGAAGGTTATCTTTTCGACTGCGAAGGTCTCAGGAGCTACTGTGGATATTATGGGTACCCCATACCCATACGGCATGGTTATCCGACTAGTCATAGGGGATAACTTATATTTATGTAATATGTAACAGATCATGACTTGGGTGTTACGTTTCCTTGTATATTACGGAACGGCCTAAACTCCTGGTTTGATAATATTGTAAAGTAGATTTAGGAAACCGATACCGTATTGGTTAAGGTTTCTATCTTGTAATCCTGCCCCTCATCCTATATAAGGTGGGCAGGAGGCCCTCTAGGGGGCAGATGAGACAACTAGATCGTCAGATCTATAATACACCCGGCGGATTCAAATCCCCAAACAGGAGTAGGGTATTACCTCTCATTGAGAGGGCCTGAACCTGTCTAAATCCTTTGTCTCCGCATCCATCCACTTTTAGGTCTCGTGCGCTACCCCCTTTTATTATTGCCGAAATCATGTTTCGACAATAGTACTATTACATCCCTCCAAAATCTCTTATATTTTAAAACGGAGGGAGTACTACAATAGTAGCTGAATTTTGTACTTGCAAGATTATCCGGCACAAGATAGAATATATTCTTGCGAGCTGAATGGATATATATATACGTGATCGACTATGGAGTACACAGCATAAATACTTATATTCACTTATTCCGAAAAAAATACTTATATTCACAATTATATTCGCGAAAGTGGTATGGTATGGTAGTATATTATGACATGGATGCATGATCGATCCAGCCTTATAGCATATGCTACATATGTACGCGCATTACTACGTGGTGGGCTAGATGACCTGGGTTTAAAGCCTCATTCTTTCTAATTATTTGATATTATGTCATTCCCTAATATTCGCGTTACTACGTTGCAAATGGGTGGGCGGCATCTATATTATGAAAATTATGCTAGCTTATAGATAACTTCATAACACATAAAACTGGTTAGAAGTGAAGTGAGCGTAACTCAACAGGGTTCAAGTTCCAGACTTGACACGGCCGTTCGTATTTATGTCTAATTATTTTTTCAGTGGTATGCGACGTACCTGTTGACATAAAGGTAAGGTGTACGTGTGTTTTTTATAAGGATCAGTGTACGCATGTTGTGAACGCTTATATTTGTGCTGTGTTTCTCGAAGAAAAAAATATATCACCTGATAAAAAATAACGCATCATGGCCATTGCTACAGATATTGTAAATTGTCGTCATTGGCACTGTAATATAGCCAACTAGCATACTTATCAAACCAGTTTGGATTTAATAACCTATTCTTGCTCTTCAGACATCAAATCAGAGATATTACAATATTAGTACTTAGTACCAGTATTTAGACTTGGAGGACCAGTGAAGTACAGAGTGCCAACTAAAAATTTGAATATAAGGTAAAGAGTAAATTGCATTGCCGGTACATGAACTTGTCAGATGGGTGTAATTTAGTGCACGAATTTGTAAAATGTTTGTTTTGGTGCATGAACTTGTCTAGTACATACGGAGGAAGGCGAAAAAGACACTACATAGCTAATCTTATTGATTTAGAAGTTTATTAGGACACTATGTAAACATAGTTCTAAGAAGGTTGTTATTGGACATACACATTTTCAATAAAAAATAGAATATGATACAGTAATAGTAGAAAAAGATTAAAAATCCGAGCAATGATACAAGGGTTAGAAATATATGAAATTCATCATTTCCACGATGAAGGGTAAAGTAGAGACCAAATTTATAAATAATGCATTTCTTATGCATACTCACTACACGTATGTACGTCACATTCTAATCAACATCTCAACTTCGTAAAATTAACATTGACAAGTTATTTTGGTCCTCATTCACACGAACTAGACAAGTTCGTGTACTGAAACAAGAATTTTACAAATTTATGTATTAAATTGCATCCACCTAATAACAAGTTTGTGTACTGCCAATGCAATTTACTCTAAAGTAAAATTTGATTGGGAACCAAGGCCCCGCTTGTCATACATTGAATCCACCCACGTGTTTTCTCCCAATTGAATTGCATAGACTCGAGTATATGTAGACATTGCAAAAGTTTCTTTAGACATGCTCTGATAAACTGGTCAATGTATGCAGCTAGCTGCATGGAGGAATCGGACCAACCCATGAGCTAATCTGATCTGAGCGACCCTTCAGAATTCAGTACAGCATCAACCTCTCGTTGTCACTTCGGACTACCGGAGACAAATTCCCTATAGAGATTACTTCGGACATTCTTTGAACAATGGCATATAAAATCGTTTTTGCAAATTGCATGGTACACTGGGATGGATGAATCATGAATGGATATATGCTTTGGCAAACGGCCTAAAAATTCTCTTATATAAATGTGGGATCACTCTCTTTCTACAAGCAATTCTACCTGCTACAATGGCTTAGATCTACATGCAAAGGTCCAAAGTATCATTATTAATACTCTTCATTTTTAACAGAAAGGCCCAGCAACATAAAAAAAGAGTAGATTTTACATACACGTTTTGTGACACTTAACGCTTAAGTATTAAAGTTTCAAAAAATCGCAATATCAACAAATGGGTTCACCCGCGAGATGACATAGTTCTTTCCTTGCATATATTTAGGATGTAGGCATGGCGAACTTAAATTTTCGCAAAACATAGTTCTATCTAGGATGAAGCTCCCAAATCTATATTCTAGGTGGAACAACCACGTCATTTTGTAGGTGGATCTGTCCGTTGATAATATAGTTTTGCGAAAATTTAATCCAAAATAAATATAGTTAAGTGCCAAGTGTAAAAACATGTGTAGTTTTTTACAACTTGGACCATAAAATATGTAATTCTATTAAATTTACTCAAAAAGAGAAGGACTAGCACTCGAGTGGGCTTAATTTTTTTATCTGTGAGATTTATGGGCTGACACAAGTAAGCCTGTGCAGCCCAGGTAGAGTTCGTTTTGTGCCCAGCCCAAGAAATTAACACGAAGAATTCGGACTATCCAAATAAGTCCGAATAAGACACGGCCCGCAGATTATTTACGGCTCAAATGAGTCAGAATGGATTGCCCCAAATGCAAAATTCTGTGCATATGCACTGCCAATTAATTCACAGCAACTGTACTCCTGTTCATATCAATCAAAACACAATTATTTGGATAAAAAATTCCGACACTATCTATCTAACCTACTACTTGCACTGTCCATGGTTGAATTCCTGTCTTGTTTTACCGGCCTTCAGTGGTGAAGGAGATCGAGATGGAGTTCCTGGAGTCGTCCTCGGCAATGCCGCCCAGCGCCGCCGCCGACGCCGACGCCCTCGTCGTCATCGTGTCGGTGCCGAGCGTGGTGGCCGTGTTGGCGGTGGAGGCGGCGGAGGACGCCGTGGTGGTGGTGCTCATCCACCGGCCGACCCGGCCGTGGATCGCCGGCTTGCCGGGCTTGGGCAGCGTGAAGGAGTCGCTGGACAGCATGAGGTGGACGGTGTACATGTCCGGCCGGTCCGACACCACGGCCTGGCAGCACAGCAGCCCGAGCTGCACGCACAGCCGCGCCTCGTCGGCGTCCCACTCCGCCATCGCCGGGTCCACGATCTCCATCTGCCTCCCTTCCTCTGACAGCTTCCATGTCTGAATAATTTCCAGAAAAAAAAAAGATTCAGTCACAACTCACAATGCTGCTCCTGGAAGATAAATTTTCAGAATCCAGTGTTGTTATTTCAGAGTACTTACGTAATTCAGGAGGTCGGTTTTTTCGGCGTCGAGATGTTTATCGATGTTTTTCCTCCCGCTGACGATCTCCAGCACCAGCATCCCGAAGCTGAAAACGTCGGTTTTCGTAGACAGGTAGCCGTTCATCGCGTACTCTGGAGCCATGTAACCACTGCGACGTATCACTTACTGTACTCACACGCAACCACAGAGATTTTGTGGACGGATCAAGTGAATAACAACGATGGGTTCTGGTGTAATTACTCACTATGTGCCGGAAATCCGGAAGGTGTTGACGTGCGTGGCGTCCTCGAGGAAGAGCCTTGCCATGCCGAAATCTGAAATCTTTGGGTTCAGCTGTTCGTCGAGGAGCACGTTGCTTGCCTTGATGTCTCGGTGGATGATCTTGACGGGGGATTCCTCGTGGAGGTAGAGGAGGCCTCTCGCTAGGCCGACGATTATTTGGTAGCGTTTGGGCCAATCCAGCTGCACGCTCTTCTTTCTGTCTAGAGGTACATAAACAGGTATCATACATACAGCAGGTTGCAGAGCATTTTCTGTTTTTTTTTTTTATGTTGTACTACCTCTGTCCTAAAATATAGTAACTTTTAGTCATATATCTGGACTAGTGCTAAAAGTCATTATATTAATTTTGGAATGGATGTAGTACTGAATACTGATCTGGTTTTGTATGGATTATATATGCAGATGGAATTAAGTATAGGTACATGCGTATCTTTATGTTTAAACTGGAAATTGTAAAGAACATAATTAGTTATGCTTTATGTTTTTTTTTAACAAAATCATGGAGCATTTCAAACTATGGTACGGAGTAGCTAATTGAACTTTCTGTCTTTTGTTTGTCCACACAGAAGTTTGTGTGTGTGTGTGTGTGGGGGGGGGGGGGGCGGTGTTCAGATTACTCCAAATGACAAGAAATCCTATTCGAGAAATGGTCAATCCAAAGACATTGGGCGGCATAATGGCATACAGCCATACCCGATTTGATGTGATATGTTGAGCCTTTGAGATTAAGCAAATCGAAGTATTGCTTTTGACACAGTAAAGGTCAATGAGAACGTCAAGGCAGATTTTTCCTTACATTGACTGACAAAAAGACTTCTTGCAGATTCTGTGTTCTGCTTAATTGACTGAACAACTCTGTGTGACTGTGTCTGTGCGAATATATGCTTTGCCACGGCTAACTCATCGTTTTGGTCTCCTTGAAAGTTGAAACCACTAGGCCACAAACAATGGAACTCCAGTAGGGACTTGTTTTTCTACCAGAAATGACTGTTTCTACAAGCACTTTCCCTGAATTTTGTTCAGAACTACCATAGAGTTTTGGCTATTATGATTTGTGCACCACAAACTCTCCAACAGAGTGCCTAGCTTCCGAGGTTAGAACCTTTGTGTTTTGATTAATGATAAACAGATAACAGTGATTCGTTATACTACTAAAAAAAATGACCAAACTGTCAGATTTAGCTCACAAATTCTACCCGTAATTCAGAAGCAATCTGATGGCAATTAATAATTAGGACATTTTGCAACATAATACAGTAGTATGCAGATGAGAGAGAGGTGTCACCGAAGAGGAAGTGGTCGAGGCTGCCATTTGGGAAGTAAGGGTAGACAAGCATCTTGTGACCGGAGGAAGCGCAGCATCCGAGCAGGGAGACCAGGTTCCTGTGCTGCACCTTGAGCAGCAGCCTCACCTCGTTCAAGAACTCTCTCACACCTTGCCGTGACTCCAGCGACAGCTTCTTGACGGCGATCTCCTGCCCATTCTCGAGCACCCCCTGAAGAGAGATGGTAACAAGATCAACCGATTTTTTGTCAGTTAGTAGTTCATTCTTCCCAAGATGTAAAATTCCTGACAAGTAATGGTACGTTTATTATTTACTACTACTGCTTTGCTTTGCAGGAGTAAAAATGATGCTTTGGTTCGTGCAATGTTGAGATTAGAATCTCAAAAGAGAGGAAAAAAACTAATATCGCATATTAATTTGACGAAATGATGTCTGAAAGTAGCAGAGCAGGTATAATCAGTTATTAGTGGTGAAAAAAAAAAGAGAGAGAGCCAGCAAACAGTAGAAAAGATATTTGTCCATGGAAAAGATAGTACACCCATTACCCATACATAGACAGGGTTAGATCAATCATTTGTGTCGTTTTGGTAGGTGAAAAGGACAAAATCAGAATGGAAAGCAAGGAATGGCTTTGTTGACCAACCAATAAAAAACCAGTCTTTGTTAATGTTAGGTGAATTCCACAAGCAAAACAGGGCAACAGCCTAGCAGCAAAGCAAAGCCATGGCGAAAGGGGACGATGAGATGGCAGTAAGAAACAAGCCTTGTAGACGGGGCCGAATCCGCCGCGGCCGAGGAGGTTGTCGTCGGAGAAGCCACGGGTGGCGGCCTCCAGCACGGGCAGCTCGATGAAGAGGCTCCACTGCTCCTCCTCCCTCCCCGACGCCGCCCCGCCGCCGCCGCCGCCGCCACCGCCGTTGGCCTCACGATCAGCGCCTCCTCCTCTTCCGCCGCTGCTCCTCCTCCACCTCCCGCACCAGCCGCACGACCACGGCATGGCAGCAGCAGAGCAAAATAGAGAGAAATTAAAACACCAAAGCACACGAGTACACGACGCAGACACGCAGAAGTGCAGTGCAGTTAGCTAGGTGTGACGTTTCAACGACGCGCGCGACCCGGTGGCGGGGTGCAGAGCTAGTTTAGTGCAGGTAGTCTGGTGATTTATGGAGGAGACACGTACGTACGTCGTCCATGACCGTGGGGTGTGTTTGTATCGCAGTGTTGCAGGCGGCAAAGCCGGCAACCGCGTTTGCTTGCTTGGTCAGTGTCCAAATGGGACGAGAGACGACTCGTGCCTTGACTTTCTAGTAGTACTAGCTAGCTCCCATCGTATCATACGTGGCCGGCGGCTTTTCATTCCAGCCAGCCATTAATAGAAGACGCGCAATTGATTGACCTATCATCGATCAGTCGTGCTCCTCACTTTACTCCCTCCGAAAAAAATACTACATCTCCGTCCCATGTTACCTGTAATTTTGACTTTTTATATGTAACATTTAATCATTCGTTTTATTTAAAAAAATTGGTCCAAATATAAAAAATGATAGTCATACTTAAAGTACTTTTATGATAAAACAAGTAACAAACAAAATAAATAATAATTCTAAATTTTTTTTTGAATAGGACAAATGATTAAATATTAAAATAAAACTCAAAGCGACAAGTAATATGGGATGGAGATAGTACTACAAACTATACTACTAGTATTTCGACAGAAAGTTATCTAGATTTGTCAACCTTTTATCAATGCTCTGAACCTATGGGATATACCGCAGTTGAACATATGCATGAAGTATTAAATATAGGCTAAAAAAATTAATTGCATAGATTGCGACAAATTTGCGAGAGGAATCTTTTGCTAATTGCTACACGATTTGATAATGTGGTGCTACAGTAAATATTTGTTAATGACATATTAATTAGGCTTAATAAATTCGTCTCGCAGTTTATAGACGAATCTTGTAATTTATTTTATTATTAAACTACGTTTAATAATTTAAATATGTGTCCGTATAACCACGTGACATGGCAACATGATCTAAGGTCAGCGGTAATTACCTACCGCCGGCCGTCGTGATGCCTGTGGGCCCTACAGCCCGTCAGCACGGCCTGTCTCGGACGATTTGCATTCTATCCAGCCCAACACTATTTGGGCCACCGAGAATTGGGCCTATTTTATGGGCCGTGATGGGCGAATAGGCGGGAAGGAGCCCAACTCTATGGGCTTCTTCGGGCTCCTTCTACCCGAGCTAATGTTATTAGGCCGAAACGGCGGCTCTGGCTTACGTTGTTGGGCCGAAACTAGCGATGAACGGACCAAGCTTGCTTAGTTGTTGCCGGTAACATGTTACTGCTACAAGCGATCAATGGGACAATTATCGCCCGTGAATTCTACCTGATGATTTATCCACGTGCTCATCACAGCCAGCAGGGAAGGCCAGAGGCGGGATGATTAATTTGCATGGCCGACACGTGATTGCCATATAGGATTAACGGGGTGAAATTAAACGACAAAAATCATCCCTGATCTGTTCTTCCCTGTTGACACCAAATTAATCGATCCTTTTTATTACGGTTAAACAACCAATTCTGGGAGGTGATGCGATGATGTTCTAGCTAGTAAGAAGAGACCAAACAAACAGACTATTGAGAGTTGAGACTGCTACCAAATTCATCTTATTTATTGGACAGCAACCACAACATACTAGTACTACGTACTCTGGTCACCGAAACATTCCCTCACGATCCAGATAAAACAAACACAATAAAGAAAAAAAACACAATAAAGGAAAAAAAACATACGTGACCACACGAATGTTACACATATGTCACTGCTACTCGGCAGCAAGCAAGGCGTTAACGCTGATCGAGCGGTCAGCGCGTGCGCCCCTGCTCGACGCGTCGCTCTTATTCACCGTTGGATCGTATGATCTGAGGCTAATTAACATGAGTAGCTAATTAAGCTGGCTGGTTGTGACACTTGGGCCCCGGGAAGCCGTGGTAGCGATCGAGGCAGCGGAAGCGCGGCGGCTGCGACTCCACCTGCACGCACTTGCCGCAGCCGCCGGAGCACGACTTCACCTTGTCCTGGCAGCTGCACGTCGGCGGCATCGACCTTGTGCACACGGCGTCGTCGCAGCATTTCCACGGCCTCGACCTCACCGCCTCCTCGCCGCCGCCGCCGGTGCACTTGGGCCCGGGGTTGACGCCCCAGTACCAGTCCCGGCAGACGTAGCCGCCGCCGTCGGCACGCTTGCAGTCCTCGCAGGCGGCGGCGCAGTGGTCGACCTCGTCCAGGCACTTGTACTTGGGCGGCCAGATCCTGAGCGGCGACTGCTTCAGCTTGTCGCAGCAGTCCCACGGCGGTGACGGCCATTCGTCGCCGCCGTCGGTGGGGAGGCGGATGTTGCTGTTGGGGGTGACAGCGGCGGAGGAGATGGGGATGCCGGCGAGGAGGAGGGCTCCCAGGGTGAGCGTCAGCAGGCTGCCGCTCTTCATGGCTGATCGTTTTTTGTTCTTTAAGAAGTTGGGTTTGAGATGCAGAGTGTGATAGTAGTGTGTGTATTTATAGACCAGGAAGGCAGCAACGGGGCCCACGAACGAGTCCACGAGATGTGGAGAAGAGCGAGCGCGCACGTGGCGCTGTCCCCACTTGTCAGAACACGGGAAACACGACTGAACTAGGGAAACTATTCTAATCCCTTAATAATGTTCCCTTAAGGATGTTCCCTCGTTTGCTCAAAAACCATATAAACGGTTATGAAAAATTCTGGAAAAAATTGACAATATTCAGACAACACATATATACAACTCCATAAAATCTTAAGTCCAAACTCAACTCACACATCGAGATATAAAAAAGACAAATTCAGCGTATAAATAGTAGCGTACTGTTTATATGTAAATTTATCTTTTTTTTTCTCGATGTGTAGATCGAATTTGATCATGAATTTTGGTGAACTAGTAGGTATTATTATACTCTACACTGTCAATTTTTTTCAGAATTTTTCATAATTATTTGTATCAAATTTAAAAGAAAAAGGTATACAAGGAATATCTTCTCGAGGGATTAGAATCCACTCCCACTAAAATATGGAATTGTGGTCGGGTCTGGACTTCTCGGTGGATGGAAAGGGCGGATGGTAACAGTAACTGCACATGAGCTTCACGAGGATCTTGGCATCGTGCAACGCATGTGACGGTACACGCATGCAGTTGCCTCCACGTGCGAAAAAGGGCACTAGCCTGACGCATCTCGCTAATCGATGCCTAGTTTATTGATGCCCTCTGCAGCCCTGGTCCCTGGACGGAGTAATTGGTCATGTCATGTCAATGATGTCAAGTCTGCTGGCTGCTGCACCCTGCACGCTGCGGAACTCCTCAGCCTCAAGCCCTCAACACGTTGCTCATCTCGATCTTTCGTCCGTCGGCCTCCCGTGTCGTCTACGTGGGCTGGACGGGCCTGAGCGCTTTGGGATTTTGGGCTTTTAAGAAAAACAACGAGCTTGGGCTCCTAATCTGATTCTTGGGGCCTTGCCGTCAGTGGGCTGCAAAGACCGGCATTTACTCCATCAGTTTTAAAATATAAGGATTTTTGAATAATACTAACTCAAACATTTTTAATTTTAACTATTTATAGAAAAAAAAATTAAAACATCAATCATATAACATTGATGTTAGTATAATTATCATTAAACTTTTTTTTATTTAAAACATCTTACTTTTATAAATATTATTAGTTAAAATAGTATATCGAAGACTATGCTGAAGTTTAAAAGTGTTTATATTTTGAAACGGAGGAAATAGATCGTACGTAATTGGTGGCATCAGCTGAACTGGTGCGTGCCAGCATCGCACCCACTGTCGTAGTGTAGATCATGGATATATATACGAGATCATAGAAGTAGATAATTAATAACTCACCAGGCGACTGATCAGTATATATTAGCACTGTATTAGTGTATTCTCGATCTCACACTTGCAGTTAATTTCGAGATGAACATATATATGATCGGTACTACGTGATTCCGATCCTTAATAATATTAGATTAATTAGTTAATTAATCAAGCAGCTTAATTGTGTGGATCATATGAATCAAGCGTGAGGAGGAAGGAGGCCCTTGTCCTGGAAGCTCTTGATGCAGTCGTCGAACATCTGCTGCACGGAGAGGAATGGCGGGAAGCCGAGAGCCCTGATCTTGGCGGTGTCCATCTTGTGGGCCCTGTCGTCTCCCTTGTGGCTGCCGCACTCCGCGGGGATCGGGTACCCCGGGTACCTCTCCCTCAGCGACCCCACGATCTCCGACCAGTGCGCCACGTGGCACGAGCAGATGAGCCGCCCCGACGCCCTGGCGTCCTCCATGGCCACCACGTGGGCCAGCACCGCGTCGTCCACGTGGACGAACCCCACCGTCGTGTTCGGGTACCTGGGGAGCTCGCCGCGGAGGAGGGCGAGCACGATCAGCGCCGTGCTCGTCGGCGCTTGCGACAGGATGGGGCCCACGACGAAGGACGGGTTCACGGCGACCATGTCGAGGCCGCGCTCCTTGGCCAGCCGCCACGCCTCCCTCTCCGCCAGCGTCTTGGCGTAGGCGTACCAGAGGCCGTGCGCCGCGCAGTAGGCGGCGTCGCTCCAGTGCGACTCGTTCAGCGCCGCCGCCGCGCCGGCGCCGTAGCGGACGCAGGAGCAGGAGGAGGTGAACACCACGCGGCGCGGGCGCGGCGACGCCCTGGCGCAGGAGCGGAGCACGTTCGACGCGCCGCGCACGATCGGCTCCACTAGCCGCTGCTGGACCTCCTCCTCGTCGTCGTCGTCGTTCGGCTTGCCGTTGTTGCTGCTGCTGTTGCCGACCACCACGACGGGGGACGCCGCGTGGAACACGCCGTCGACGCCGCGGACGGCGTCGTCGAAGCTACCCTCCACCATCAGGTCGGCCTTCACCAGCTGCAGCCGCTCGCTCGCGCCATCAAGCTCCCATAGGAACCCCACCTTGGCTTCATCCTCTGCATGCACACATGCTCAGATCTCAGACGTGCATACGTCGTGTTCGATCATTTGCCTCAACGGCGCAAGTGTGCGTGCGTGTTACCTGGGTCTCTGACGGTGGCGCGGACGGTGTGGCTGGCGGCGAGCAGCGCGCGGATGAGGTGCGACGCGATGAACCCCGTCCCGCCGGTGACGCAGTACTCCGGCATCTCTCTCTCTCTCTCTCTCTATCTCTAGCTTACTACCGAGAGCGATCTCTTTATGTCGAAATGACGTTAATTTATTCTGAACTTGGGGAGCTCAGCAATCGAAATGTTAATTATTTCTTCCTTTGATTATCATTTTAGAAGAAAGAAACTCCGTTGGCCGGTTTGAATTAGGTTGGTCATGGGAAGATCGAGGTATAGTATTACTCTTTTCTAGAGAAGGTTAGTGTGCATGATGAGCTTGAATTTGTAACTGCAACTTACTAAATTCCAACCTTCTCTTGTAGCTATTCCACCTGTTTCAAAATATATCAACCTTATACCAGAATGTGATACAATGTGCAGATTTTTATTGTAGTACAATGTACTCAAGATTGGTTTATTATGGGACAGTGGGATTAGTAACTTCCAACTTGCTCATCGTCAGTCGATCTCGCTGGATTCATTAATTAGCAAATGACACATTGGCTCCATCGTTTCATTTATGCTTATGCAAGATGTACTAATTAATGTGTTGTTAGTATACTTTAGGATCGATCAAATTAAACCCTGGTTGCTCTTCGATCCATCCTCACGATCCTGTCCAAGTAACAAGTAGATGCAAGGCGTAGAGAGGGTAAGCTCTAGGTTCAATTCTGCAACAGCCCGGTTATCATCTTGGTGGTTACAGCTACTTGCGTCGTCGGCGACTGTACATTCATCGCCATTGACGTCCTTGGAGGAAGAAGATGAATTGTGGCCCGGATGCTTTGCACCACGTTCGTCGTGAGCTTCGCTTCGCAGACGGCGACGCCGTCGACGGTGTTCATCATCATGTAGCGAGGGTGGATGCTCTATAGTACTATCCATCAGCTTGGAGTTCCAGTGGTTCATGACCTCTTTGTCTGTCCTCCCCGGTAGCCTCCCAGCGATGAGGGACCAACTTGATATATATGCATCAATATTAATTTGATCATTGCTTAATTATAACAAACGGTGAATTAATAGCGGAATATTGTTGATATTGGGGGAATTAATTAATTACGTACGTACCGGTTGCCGAGCAAAGCGTGCAGCTTGAGGAGGAGCTCGTCCTCTTCCTCGGAGAAGCTCCTCCTCTTTCTGCTCCGGCTAAGCGGCGACGGCGGATCACCGGCCGGCAAGTGCTCGGAGATGAGCCGTGGTGGAGGCTGCGATGACACCTGCAGACTTGCAGAGCTGCGCCGTCGTGGACACCTCATTACACATGTGTTAGCACAAATTACAGCTAGAGATCGTCTTAGCTAGATCGATCGATCAGTAGCAGTAGAAGAGACAATATAATTCTGCATGCATATGATCAGATGTATATATAGAAACGGGGCTAGTTGCTGGGAGATAGAGAGGCTTTGACTTGACTGGAATGGAAGTCGATCAGGTTGGTCGAGCTGAGGCGACCGGCAGCTGGTTGGTTCAGCCGGGTACGTGTTGGAACGAACGATAATGCGGCTTGCTGCAAGGGGCTCGTGCGCGGGCAGCAGCGAGCAAGAATTCATAAACCGGCCATGAACGCTTGCTGGTAGCTACAAACCATCCATTCCCGGCCCTGTTGCTACTCCCCTGCTTCGTATTGTAAGGTGTTTTAGTATTTTTCTAAATTAAGGTGACTTTGACTAACTTTTTTAGTTTTTTGAAAAACACACCAACATTTATAACGTCAAATTATTCGTTAAAATCTACCATAAAATATGTTGTATTTATTTGTTATTGTTGTAGATATTAGTTATTTTTCCTACGAATGTAGTTAAAGTTAAAAAATTTCGACTTACAAAACCAAAATACGAATACTGCATAGAGCGATACGGTGAGGATTCCATATGCCAGCTTCAAATTTCTGAAATTTCAGGTACCCAAAAACTATTTTGCCCGAATTTTTCACCCAAACCAGCTGGTAAGTAAGCATGCGAGAAATGCTAATCTCAAGAGGCGCACCCGACAGGAAACTACAGTAAATTAACAGCAAGTCAGGTGCTAACTGAACTAGCTACACACGTAAAATAAAAGGGTAGTTCCACTTTGATCGGTAGCTGTAATAGGGAAGCAGTATACCTACCAAATCACTCCACAACTGAATGAGACTTATGCTACCAAGCGGTGCATGTCCGCAGGTCACACGTGGCCGGCCGGCCATTCTAATCGACCAAACGTACCACAGTAGATGCATATGCCCGAGCATTTGCTAAAATTCAGCATAAACTTCTACATTCATTGCTGTAAACTGAAATGAAATTGTACTTCCAATGGAAGGGCAAAAAGCCAGGACACTGTGCTTCTGTCTTAGCAAACTCAAACTACTGATGTGGGTTACATGTTACCTCTAAATCGTGATGCCATAAGAAATTTGGCTTGTATATGTACATCAGCTATAACTAGGATTCCACTGCAGTGTTGTTCTTGTGGAATATGTACAAATGACTTCAAAATTTGGGGCTCCCATCTTGCCAGAACTGAATTCTATAAACTTTTAGTTGCACAACTAAATTTGTTAAACTAGTTCATGTGTATATAGTTTCTCCTGCGGTGGTGAACAGGCCGATTTCTTAGAACCACGATTTTGTGCAGGGTATAGTCTAAGAGAGCTTTTAAGATGATCAATTCCTTGTCTTCTAAGAGCATTTGGGTTGATACCTGCCTTGTGAGCTGCGATTACTCCAATGGCTTCCCAATAGTTCTGGACATTTAGCTGGGGAGCAAAAGGGTCAACACTGTAAGATTGCTATGGATTTCTTGCATAAGTATCAGAATGAGAGCTTTGTAAAATTGTCAAGACATGTGGTACATACCGCCTCTATATTGAACTTGTCAGGGGTATCATCAAGAACTGTTTCATTTTCTTGAACCGTAATGATTAAGGGCTGCAAAAAAACAATTATTCATGAGGATAATAAAATCCAAATGGAAAGATAAAACATCACTTATCACTGATATCTACCTTGTTCTTTGTAGCAGTTCTAGCAAAGGCAATAGTACCATCTCCTCCGCAAGCATCTTTTGGAAGAATCACACTATCAACATCACTAGCCACTATGCAACCATTATCCATGTTTCCATTCCTCCTCATCACATATTGAGGGGCATTGCTTAACCCGGCAAGCACACAAGGTAGAAAGGTATGTCCAATCTGTTACAAAAAAAGATCAATGAGAACTGGTACAAAAAGATGATATAAAATTAACGAGCACTGCTTAATTTGACATAGGACAGCACTGATCTATATGCTAGGAATGGATGTGAACAAGTGGACTAACTTTAAGAAAACATGTAACTACCAGATAGTGAACATTTGAAATTAGCCTGATATACAACATTTCATTGTAGGGTCATTACTAAGCATATCCCTGATATTTAGTTAACTTAGTTATGCACCAGCATAGTTCAGCAGAAAGAGTAGAAACCTCTTCAGCAGCAGATCTTGGGGACACTGACAGACTGAGAACTGGGGGTAAAACTGCAGGAGCATGGGCAGCTGGGATTTTGAATTTCTTCACAATTAGATGACTGATAATCGCTTCAACTCCTGCCAACAGATCAACTCCCTGCATTGATATGGCATTGAAGAAAATACAAGATTAGAAATGATAGATGCTTGGAAATGCTGAACACCACCCACAAATGATAACCTCAGCATGTCTACCGTGATCAGTATCAACCATTGAATTGCATCAATATAAAAATTCAGCGAGCAAAATGACACCATAAGGCCAACAGCTTTCAAACTACTTGAAAAGAGAGTGTTGTTGCAACTTGCAAGGGACATTTCAGATGGTCCAAACAGTAAATTTGAAAAATCGAAGAGCATCCCATAACAAACTAAATCAAGACAACATGGTGTTTCAAGAATTCTAAGTGGCACAACTATCAGTAACCTGTTAGGAAAAATAATAAACCAGCTACTTGAGCAGGCAAGTATTACCTTTCCTTCCCGATAACAATCTGAATCTTCTGGATCATCATCTGGAAAGCGCGCAACAACCGCCACAGCATTCACATCAGAGCGGTTCACCAGGGCCTCAACTGCCCTCAGGAGAGAATCAGAGTTCCCAACACTCCCTGTAGACTTCCCACATTTTGGATCAAACCATGTCTTGATCTAGACCACAAATGAGCAGGTCATAAGTAAGCATGAATATTACATCAGGCACTAAATTATCTTTCTAACTAGAGGTATCACTAGATCTTAAACGTATTCTCACTCACAGGACAAAAAAAGAAGGGATCAGAACAGAATGAGCACCTCCAAAGGAGTATCAGTCACAATGTACTCGACTACAGGGAGCCCAAGAGAAGCCCTCGCGGCATCCGCAACCTGCAAGTGACGGAGTCGAAGCTCCTCCTCGATTCCAGAATCCAACACCAAACCTACCTAGGTTGAAGCAGCCACAATGTGTCAATGTATCAACAAAACCGTAGCTAACTAGCTACCTACAGTTACATTATCCATGGTTGTGTCTGAGCAATCTCTAGAACCACTAAATTGGTAGTAGTACCTTGTTCTGGTGAACTGGTTGGAGAGCCCAGGATCCTTCAGCGAACCTGTCAAGGGCGTATCCCTCAACGTAGAGCGTGTTGGGCATCGGCCAGTAGAGCATCGCAGCGTTCAGCACCTGTGATTATGTGAAGACGAAATCTTCAACCATGGAGAAGCCAAAACTAACCCTAACAGCTACTGGAAGTTAATACTTACATTGGGGTGGGAGATGACGCAGTCGGCGACGGCACCGAGCGCGCGCGCCACGGGAAGCGCATCGCCGGCGAAACCCCCGACGGCGGCGCCGACTCCGGTGGGGACCACCAGGACGGACGTGTAGGGCCTCCTGAAGCTCGGGCCCCGCGCGCTGGCAGAAGGGGCGAGGCAATGAGCCCGGGAGCTCCGACGAGTCGGCCGCGGCGGCGGCGGCGACGGCCGGAGGAAGGGACGGGTGAGGTGGAGCGCCATTGCCGCGGCGAAGCGAGGGCGGGGACGCGAACGGATAAGGCTGTGACTCACTGGGCCGCCAAATTGGGCCCACCACTCGGCCCAATTATGCACTGAATCAAGGGGGCCCACCTGTCATTCTCACGTAGAAACCACCAAACCCTTCTTCTTCCCCCATCTCTCCGCAGCCACCGGTGGAGAAGATTCGCGCGGCCGCTCGCCATGTCGTCGCCGTCGCCGGCGTTGTGCGCCGCCGCCTCCTGCTCCACCCCGCTTCGCGTTGCGTCGCCTGTCGTTCGGTTCCGCCGCCCCGGCGCGCCCGCGCCCGTCGTATCCGCGGCGCGCGCGTCGTCGGCGGCGGTCCCGGCCGTCTCCGACGACCTCGTCCTCCGCATCGCGGAGCAGCTGGAGGACTCGGTCGCGGCCTCCTCGCCGCTCCTCGACCCGCTCCGCTCCGCCTCCGCGCTCTCCCTCCTCTCCACGCGCTGGCCAACCCGCCGCTCCAACGAGGCCTACCGCTTCACCGACATCTCCTACCTCCGCTCCCTCCCCATCTCCCTCCCCTCCCGGGACGCCCCCGCCGTCGCGCCGCCCGCCTCCCCCTACGCCTCCCACGTCCACTTCTCCGATGGCGTCCTCACCTCCTCCTCGGGCGCCCACGTCTCCGCCCTCGCGGACCTCCCGCCTGGCCACGTCCGGGACCGTGCGGCCGCCGCTCTCGCCGCCTCCGCGGGATTCGCCGACAAGGACCTCTTCTTCGACTTCAACGCCGTTGGCGCGAAGGATGTCGTGGTCGTGCACGTGCCGGAGGGGGTAAGTATGGCCGACGACCCGGTGCACATCATGTTCAGTTACAGTGGCTGCGGCGATGGTAGTATGATGATGTCGAACCCGAGGGTTCTCGTTGTGGCGGAGAAGGGGGCGGAGGTGGCCATCATTGAGGAGCACTTTGGTCAGGAGGACGGTGGGTGTTATTGGGCTAATCCGGTGATGGAGATCATCGTGGAGGAGGATGCGAAGGTGGTGCATTCCTATGTGCAGCAGCAGTCGTTTGCGGCTGCGCATACCAAGTGGACCGTCGTCCAGCAGGTAGACCTTTCTTGTGCATTTTGAATTGCTTTGCATATAGTTATGATTTGTGGATCGATGTCTTAACCATAGTTGTTGTTCACCTTCAATGTGCTTGCTTGTTCTGTGAGTTGAGCTAGGATAGGATAGGATAAAGACAATTTTGGTTCAATTAGGACTGCACATGGTTAGAAACATAGAATTACTAAGTTGATAAGAGTAGCAGTGGCATATGTTACAATTTATATGTTTCAACAATCTTATCTAAAAACAATATTGCAATTAGAGGTAGCTTCCTTCTTGTTTGTGATATTTAGTTTTATTTATGGGGTGTCATGAGATTGTGTTATTCCTTCTTTAGTAGGATGACAGTATAACAGATCAATGAGGAATGCACTACACTTATTTTGTAGCTAGAAGCTTCACATGCAGAAATGAGATTTCTTATTCCTTCTTTAGTAGGGTGACAATATAACAGATCAATGAGGAATGCACTATACTTTCTTTGTAGTTAGAAGCTTCATACGCAGAAATAAACCTCCTAAAGTAAAAGGGTTTCCTAACAAACTGCTGGGAGTGCATTATTACCACTTTGTGCTTTGATGTTTCAATTGAATATTTACAACTGGGACATACTGTGAAATAAATCATCTTTATTTAGAACAACAAGGCACATACAAAATTCCTGTATTAGTTGGATTTAGGCTTTGCTTCATTTTCTATAAAGTTTAGCTTTTCACACCATTTGTCGTCTAAGCTAGCAACCTGTGGAACCAGAAGGCCTGAAAACCATGGTTTCAGAGAAAGTTTCTTACTGTTGGGGCATAAGGTCGTACTGAGTTCCTATTCATTGCTGCTTCAGTGGACTAGGGGAAATGATATCTAAGTGTTCAATCTGAGAAGTGAAAGATAGTGTAATTAACTTAAGAAATCCTAGCTAAGGAGGAACAAGAGGTTCATCCTCAGCGATGCAAAAGTATAACCTCATGACACAAAAATAAAGTGCAGGATGAGAATAATGCGATAGCAAGGAGAGATGGCAGTGACAACTCACCTAAATGTGGTTGGTGGTGGAAACCCCATTAGTAGACCGTGACTTCCATGAAGGTATTAGGCAGTAGAAATCCCTCAAGTTCTCACCTCCTGTGCTTGTCTGTTGGTTTTCTATGGTGGCTGCACTGTGCTAGGAGAGTGTATGTATGGCTATGGGCTAGCGACACTAAGGTTAGTGGCTAGTTGGACTGACTGACCCAATTCGACATCTTTGCATTTTTTTTCCTTTAAATTTCGTTAGACAGCTTATGGTAACTTAGCACTAATAATTTATTTCATAAATTTATTTTTTTATTACACTCTAGAAAGGACTTGTATTGGAATGTTCCATACTGGAATTATCTTGGGACAAAATTGACAAGGATGATTTTACCTATTATTTTCAGTTTTCAATGATGAAGATTAAAGCAAGGCTTACTTGAGTAGGAAATAACAGTAAGTTATTCTTATAGTTGTCTAACATTCTTTGCAGAATACATCTAGCAACTATGAGTTTGTTGAGGTAAGCATTGGAGCAAGATTGAACAGGCACAATCTCCACGTCCAGCAGTTGGGCCCTGAGACCAACACACAATTGTCAACGTTCCACTTCTCAGCGCAGAATAAACAGATACATGATCTTCATAGCAAGCTTATACTTGATCACCCAAGAGGTCGTTCACAACAGATACATAGATTGATTGCTTCTGGTACAGGGAATGGCATATTTGATGGAAATATCAAAGTGAACAGGTATGTGATCAGATTACTTCTGTGAAGTATTTCAACTGTATTATTTTGACAAAAAGTATTACTGATTTTCAGCCATTTTTGAGCCATCAGTGCATATATGTAGATCTTCAAGTTTTTTTTATTAATTCAATAGTAGATTTTCTAACTGCTTAGGATTTAAATGGTGGTGGAGTACTGACATACTACATACCTGAAGTTTATATTGCTTTAGGATCTTTATTTATTAGTTAAAATGTAGTGAAGCCATCTGTAAATATAGTGTTAGAGACACACTTCCTCAATTCAAGCAACACCAAATTCAATACAAGAGTGGCTCATCCAGCGGAAGGAGTAGCAGTTTTCTACTGCAATAGTGAAGGTTTTTTAGGTGGAAGATGGAAAGGTACAAAGGAGGCTAGAAGCTTCTAGAACAAGGAAATGAAGAGAAGGGGTAGAGGAGTAGATCGACGAGGAGCCAACCGACCTCCAGATCGCCGCCGCCACCGTTTGGCGCCTTGGCCAATCGATCTGTTCGATCCCCAAATGTTGCTAACGCTGCTGCTTTGTATGCTGCTCCTGCTTTGCTTGGGCCTCGCTTGGACATGGCTAACTTGGCCCATATACAGTCCAATCGGGTTCCTAACATATAGTCTTGCATATGTAGCAGAGCAAAGCTGTTCAAATAGCAATTTTTCCTTATGAAATCAGGAGATTGTGCACAATTATTGTTTGTTTCACTTCTGAGCAGCTTCAGTATTCTGTTGATATTCATGAAGTTCTGTTTATGCATCACTATTTCCTCCTGTCCTAGACTCCTAATACATTGATGTCCTTGATTCACAGATATGCACAACAAACTGACGCAGGGCAAGAAACCAAGTGTCTTCTCCTGTCATCGAAGGCACTTGTTAATGTGAAGCCAAACCTTCAGATCATTGCTGATGATGTCAAATGTACACATGGAGCTGCCATCAGTGGTGAACATGATCCAAATGCGATCTACTTCTTGCAAGCAAGAGGCATCGATGCTAAAACAGCGGCGGATGCCCTAAATTTCGCCTTTGGAGCCCATGTGATAAACCAAATACCATTCAAGCCCATAGAGAAAAAGACATTAGCTCATTTCAAAGCGTTGTTGGCTTCCTCAAGACAAAACGACGAATGAGGCCCTCATTATTGTTATGGAGCCAGTTCAACATTTTTCTTTTATCAAAATGAGAAATATAGAAAGAACATTAGAAGATTTTTGGTGAAACACGACGAGAAACAGATAACTGTTTTGCAATGTCAAGAGTGATGTTATTCTAGCATGTAAAGTCAGTTAATTTGTGAACCACTTGTTCATTACATGTTGAATCAAGCATGCATGATGCTTGTGAGGCAGATTATATATCTTTGCTTTACATAAGACTGAAGTTTCTGTCGACCGACAACTTATTTATCTTCTGAATGTTGGTTTGCATTTTACAGCACATGAGTACTCTCTCCATCCCAAAAAAAACTCAATCGAGCAGTCACATCCTTTCCTAATACAACGAATCTGGACAGTCATGAGAGGTCACATCTTCGTCTATGTTAAGTTTTTTGTTTTTTTACGGAGGGTTTATGATGCTGCTGCCTGTGTATGAGAATCGTTATGCAGACATATGAAAAGCGCCCTAGGCACAGTGTTAGCTTCCAGGGAATCTCATCTCAGGGCATCGAAATATGATTGATTCGAACTAATCAAAGTTGTGTATGTAATTATATATTATGTGGTACTGTTGATTATTAATTGCGCTGACTATGAACCGGTGACCAATGATTTGTTTACCGTACGGTCTTTAATTTGGTTAATTCACTCCTAGTCAGAATCAACAGGGCGACCGGGTAGCTGGGATCGTTCAGTTCAAAACTACTCCTACAGGTATACGTAGTGTGTACCAGTGTAGTGTGTACCTACAGGTATACGTAGTGTCCGGTTTGCTTGACCTAACAATGTGTTCTTCACCTACTACCGGGAAATTAAATCAAATTTAGATTAGATTAAATTAAATTAATCTGGTCAAGAAATGCATATGCATCCTACAGTGGTGCGAAACTAGGGGACGTTGCACACAGATTCATAATCATCTCCCATTGCCGACTTTTCGAGCTCTTCTTCTCTGACGTTGTGTAGCTCTGATGAATCTTCCCCGAGATGCCCCTACTTAATTGTTCACGTGTGTGCATGCGTAGCAAGTATGACCAAGACAAAACTGCCGTATATTATCAGATAACTTCTGTCACTAATCCAGATGTATACGGAGATCAAGAATTCAAGATATGGATCCGCGTATGAGGAAAAGGACTGCCGTCACTTGATGAATAAATGTTCTTATTATTTTTCTTTTTGAGTCCCCACATTGGAAAAATATGCACGGATGTTTTCATGATTAATTCGATCATCTGTCTTTATCCAGCTTCGGTACCTAATTATTTAGGTCACCGATAGGAGTACTTGTTTTTGTTTAATTACTTCTATCAGTTCTATGTGTGATGCAGAGGTTGCAGTGTTGTATTCTTTTATTATCGAAAAAATACGCACTCGATCCCCTTTATCCTCTTCCTATGGAGTGGAAACAAGTTATTGTATAAGCATGTATTCTCACTAGGCAATTATATTAGAATAGTTAGGCACTGTCCTTTTTAGATCCTTCTTTTTAGATTTTTTTCCCTCAGATTTTTGTCATAAATTATTTGCTCATGCTTCTAAATTACGATTTTTTTTTCTGAAAAACATTCTTTCACTAATTAGACTCCTTATTCTAAGCTATTTGCGAAGTTAATTTTCCAAAATATTAATGTATTGTGTTAGTAAATAAACAGCCCATGTCAATAATTGTTTAAAAGGACGGTCTCAAACATGGTCAGATGGTCCAAGAGTAGTTAGTGAACCTTGGTGGAGTATTTACTACTAATGGTTACAAATAAGTGATGTTTTGAAAAATAACATATCACCACTAAACTAGTTTGATTATTTAATCAGTACTATAAAAACCATGCAAAATATAGCAAAGTTATATTATTAATTATCAAACTATTTTTTAAAACAAATCTAGCCATATTATTTTCAAAAAAGATGAATGAAAATATTTAAAAATATATTTATTGCCAAAGTTTTAATGCATTGATTGCGCACATTCTAAAATGCCGCTTAGTTGTGGCAGGAATGAGTACGTATCGATGAAGTCTTTCACAAAGATAAAAAAAAAGAGAGAGAGAGATGGATTTAAATTAGGAATGATTATGATTGATTGAGATAAAAAGGTAGGTAAATAAATTAACTGAAATGATAGTTTTGATTGGTTGAGAGGAATGATAGTTTTAAACACTAGTAAACTTTATTATATTTTAGGATGGATAAAATAACCTTATGAGATGGTGGAAATTTGCAGTATTGGTCTCATGGGTCAGCCAGAAGATGGTACATGATTGGTGACAATTGTTTTATTCTGGCAATGGGTAACTAATCGCACATTAAGGCTAGGAATCTTCCAAGCATCAATCTAGCATACTCAAGGACAACGATCGAATTGGAACCATTTTGGTGCTGATTCCTGAGCCATGCACGTGATTTCTCGATCGGGATACAAGATTATTCAGAGCACGGTGTCAGGGGCACTCTCACTTCATATATAATTATCTAAGGGTGTGTTTAGTTCACACTAAAATTGGAAGTTTGGTTAAAATTGAAATGATGAGACGGAAAAGTTAGAAGTTTATGTGTGTAGGAAAGTTTGGATGTGATGGAAAAGTTGAAAGTTTGAAAAAAAATTTGGAACTAAACACGGTGTAACACTAATTTTCTTTTTGTTGTTCGGTAGTGTAAAGGAGGAGCGGCGGATACCACGATGTTGCTCTAAAATACCATATCAATCTATTTTTTAAATTTATAATAATTAAAACTCAATTAATCATACGTTAATACCATCTTATTTTACGTAAAACACTTAACATTCATATTTATCTCATATTTATAGGAGAAGAGAACACCACCTTACTTCTAGTAAATCGTAGGATTTGCATCGATTCATCGGCCGTGTGCTTCCTCATAAACATTTGTAAATTGTTTAGTAAAAATTAGAGTTAATAAAAAAATTATCTTTCAATCGTATTAATGGTCAAATATATAAGATTCCCTCTTAAAAACACCTGACTAAAAACAATGTAGCATGATTTTTGTGCATTATAATCAATATTTTAGAAACGTTTATGTTGTGATACAAATTTTAATCCTAGAAAAGCTTATATTTGAAGGAGAAGTTGATTATTTTTAATCACGGAGGGAGTAAGTATACGATCAATGTGATTTGTCAAGTGTACACAGTACGATCGATGAGTGACCGTAAATATATAATGCTTGCCGTACGAGGAAACGACAGCCAATATTAGGACAAATTATAAGTAAACAATGATTAATTATGTTGTTAATTATAAGAAACTGTTCAAAAGGACCAGCTAGCAGCTGAATATCTCTGTTCAAGTGTTGACTAGCTACATATATAATCTTGCAGAACTTAATTAACTAGTTGGTCGTGCAGAGAGGTAGCTCTAGATTTAAAATGGACTGTGTGTAGAAGCTTGCAAGCAACTAGCTAAAATCACATCAGCAACTAATTTCTACTAGTTTAATTAGGTTGATGTGTTGCCCAAAATCAAAAAATTATTCAGCCAATTAACGTCGTCGATCCATGTCACTGACCTGCACGTTTAATTATAGCCATTTACTTGTTCAAACTAGTAAAATTAATCCTATAAATAGCAGCCCTCCCAGAGATTGCCAAGAGCATCGATCAGTCGATCAGCTAATCTCTTTCTCCTTTAATTCATTATCCTTTGCATGCCCCTCTCCAGCTAGCTAAGGTGACAAAAACTGACATCACTGCTTGATTAGCTACTTAATTACTTATTTCGTCTTAAAATATAGTTATGTTTATTTTCAATTAGCTACGAATCTAAATAGTACTGACATTGCTGCACGATATGGCCAGAAACTTAGAATGCAATCAACTATTGTAAAATGTATACTGATTTTTGTCTTGTTGATTGCGTGCAGATGAGTCCGAGGATTCAGCAGCTGGCCGCTGTGTTGTTGGCGGCTGTTGTCGTCGTCGCAGCCGCCAGGGATGAACCTGCAGCAGCAAAAAATTACCAAACTCAATGGGATACAGTAATGTCAATACTTAACTGTAAGAGTGATTCTTTAATCCCAAGCTACATCTGCAGCGTGATTAGCAAAAGTCGCTGGGGTTGGGCGTCAGATGACCCCAACGACGACGAGTACACACCACCGGATCATCCGCTGCCGGCGCCGGCGGCGGGGCGGCGGCGGTGGCCGGTGATGACGAGCTTGAACCTGACAAAGTACGTGGACTCGCTGCCGCGGATTGCCAAGATCCGGGGCTACGGCATCCGCCATGGCCGTCCAGTGCCCATCAAGCTCACCATCGGCATGTACAGCAAGACATGGGTACGTACGTTGTGATTACGGGAAAATATATATCTAATATCCAGACCAACGTATATAGTGAAGACATGTAAACTACCATTAAATTAAGAAAAATATATACGCTTGAGATTTATCCATATTATCATAAGTAAAACTGTTATTCATGATTAAATCTGGGAGTAAAAATTTCAATTTTGGTGTCATGAACAAATCTTAGATATTTATTTTTAGATCCAACAATATACTACCTTCATTTTTTATTAGATGATATATATGACTTTTGAAATTATGTTTGACTATTTGTCTTATTACTAAAAAATAATAAATAATGTAAATATGCTAAAATTTACCGGTAAGAAAATAAAAAAGGACTACCTATATATGTGAAAGTTTCATATAAATTATATTATATACTCCCTCTATTTCAGTTATATACTCCCTCTATTTCAGTTATAAGACATTTTGACTTTGAGTCAAAGTGCTCTAAGTTTGATTAAGCTTGTAAAAATAGCAATAACATTTTCAACCCAAGACAATTTTATTATGAAAATATATTCAATTATTGATTTGATAAAAACTAGTTTAGTATTATTAATATTACTATATTTGTCTATGAACTTAAATAAATTTGAAACAGTTTAATTTTGACCAAAGTCAGTACATCTATAGAAGTTACAATGTAGCTATATTATACGGTTAAATATATTTATGTCTATCGAACTTTCAAGAAAAAAAAAGAACTTTCAAGAAAAAAAATATCAATAAACATGTAGCAAAATCGAAAAATAATTTCAAAATGGGATGCTTGCGCATGCAGCAATTCCACCGCGACATGCCACCGACGCCGGTGTTCGTGTACGGGCAATCGCTGCAGACAGCGACGTTCCCGGGGCCCACCATCGTGGCGCGGCAGGGCGTGCCGCTCGCCGTGGAGTGGCAGAACCACCTCCCCGACGCCCACATCCTCCCGTGGGACCCCAAGGTCCCCACCGCCATCCCCAAGAAGGGCGGCGTCCCCACCGTCGTTCACCTCCACGGCGGCGCCCACCCGCCGGAGTTCGACGGCCACGCCTTCGCCTGGTTCACCCGCGACTTCGCCGAGAACGGCAGCACATGGACGCGGAAGACCTACACCTACCCCAACGTGCAGGCGCCGGGCAACCTCTGGTACCACGACCACGCCCTCGGCCTCACCCGCGTCAGCCTCCTCGCCGGCCTCCTCGCCGCCTACGTCATCGAGAAGCCCGAGCTCGAGGACCCCATGAACCTCCCCTGCGGCGACCACGACCTCCACCTCGTCATCGCCGACCGCGAGTTCTACACCAATGGCTCCATCTCCATCGACCGGGAGTGGAAGCCGGAGTACTTCGGCCTCGTCATCACCGTCAACGGCAAGGCGTGGCCGTACCTCAGCGTCCAGCGCCGCCGCTACCGCCTCCGCATCCTCAACGCCAGCAACGCCAGATACTTCAACGTCACGCTCTCCAATGGCGCCCTCCCCTTCACCGTCATTGGCTCCGACTCCTCCTACCTCTCCAGGCCGGTCACCGTCTCCAACCTCGTCCTCTCGCCGGCCGAGATCTTCGACGTCATCGTCGACTTCTCCCGGTTGCCGGCGGCGATGACCGAGATCGAGATGCTCAACACGGCGCCCTACCCGTTCCCCAACGGCCCTAATGTGACGGACCCGAACCTCGACGGGAAGGTGATGCTGTTCAAGGTCGCCGGCAAGGGGAAGGTCGACGACATGCCGGACAAATCCAAGGTGCCGGAGCACGGCGTGCCGTACGCGAGCGTGGCGGCGCTCCCGCCGCCGACGACGACGAGGTACATCGTCCTGTACGAGAACCAGACCGCGCCGGGGAACCTCTACATCAACGGCCTCCGGCTGGAGGACCCGGTGACGGAGACGCCCAAGTCCGGCACGACGGAGCTGTGGCAGGTGATCAACCTCACCGGCGACAACCACCCGCTGCACCTCCACATTGCCACGTTCCAGGCCATCAAGATGACGAAGATCGAGGGATTCCAGGTGTTCAAGGACTGCATGATCAAAAACAACAACACCGCCACGTGCAACCTCGACCAGCACGCCGTCGGGCCCGTCGTGCCGGTGCCGGAGGAGGAGAAGACGTGGAAGAACGCGGTGAAGATTCCGCCGGAGTTCATGACGTCGGTGGTGGTGGCGTTCAGGCTTGTCGAGGCCAATCAGCCCTACCCCTTCGACGCCACCACCGAGCCGGGATTCGTCTACCACTGCCACGTAAGCGCCACGTCATATGCTCGACGTGCCCGTTCGTTATCGTGTTCATTGATCAGTTGCTCCATTTCTAATTTATTTTGACTGTGCAGATCCTGGATCACGAAGACAACGCCATGATCAGGCCTCTGAAGCTGCTTCCATGAACAAGAAACGTAGTGCTGATCGATGAGAATATGAGATGAAGAAGCTTCTTCACTAGGATTAATAATTCTGAGCATTTACGTTTGAGTGAAAGTTGTTTATGTTATGTTATCCAAGTCTTTGTTTATGAGTGAAAGTTTGCTAGTCATAAACTGGTGCGCTCTGACGGGGTATCTGTGCTACGGACTTAATTTGGGTTTGTACTTTATTGGAAGTTATATATGAATTATGTTGTTGATTGTTGAAGTACACTGTACAAAATAATATAGCTTATTTCAGGAAATAAATTTTAATCCTTCAAGGGATGTTCCCAATTGCATGTCATTTAAATAGTCATAATTTATTTCTAAAAAAAATAAAGATAAGATAGAGATTGGTATGTAACATATAACTCCACAAACATGCAAGTTTAAATTTAACTATAATAACGAATTAAACTATAAGTTTTAACAAAAAAAAATAATGAATTTAACTATAATTGATTTGTATACATGTTCTCACCGTCGTATTTATTTATTTTCGCTGTAACTTATAGATGGATGATATGCAAAGAAATGAGAGGACGTCTCCTCGAGACTAATAGAGTTTGCCTTATTTGCAAGAACTACTATATAAAACATGGCATGTGATTTAGCGTAAGTATGGTGCCTCACAAGTCACAACCACGCACTCCCCCTCTCCTATCCTCTTGATGTAGAAAAAAAAAGGGATAATTGATCATTTTATTCTATTCTTAAGGTTATCTACCAATCTGCCCCTATTTTCTTAAGTTTAATCATTTATCGTCTGACCTTGTTTTTATTAACCGTTAGGTTTTTGTTTAGGAAAAAACTAGCTCAAACTGACCAAAATGCCCTTAATTACACATCAACCATATCCCCAACTTTCTCATCCAGTCCCGACCGAATTCATCTCGGTGGCATGACTGAGTTAGCGCTAGGGTTTTCATCACTGACATGAAGGGAGCTGTGGTAGGCTAGGGCGGAAGGAGTGGTGGTGGTGGCGCTTGGATGTTGCTGCAGTGTACTGCGGGAGGGAGCAGTGGCTGGGCCGCGTCATCACGCACACCTGGCAACTTGATGGGTGGCCGGGTGACCTTGAGGGGTGGCCCAGTACGTGATGACGCGTGACCCTCAGCTAGGTAACACCGCTAAGCACATTTCATAACAAAACTTGGCATGCATAGCTTCACATTGTAGTAATTAATTGATTTTATCGGCTCAAAAATTGTGTGGGGTTCTAACCAATACGTTTTTTTTTATGACATGTTATTGATGGCGAATTTGTTGAGATAAGAAATGATGAGCAATTGCACAAGTGGTTTGCCCTCAACATAGCTCATGGAGTAGTGCACATCGAAGCCCAAGTTGATGGTTATTTATAGGGGTGAAAACGGTAACGGTAATTACCGGCCGACCGGCGTTCGTTTTCGACTTTCTACCGGCCGGGCCATATGGAAATGGTAATCGACCGAAACAAAAATGGAAATGGTAAAAATATGGAAATGAAAACGGAAATGGTTTTGCTGTTATACCGATCGTTTCCGTATTTACCGTATTCTCGCGGAAATTACCATTTCTTATAATATGATAATTACCGTATTCTAAATATGTCGATATTATAGGACATGTCTATACTTGACCCACAGCTTATAGATTGAATGACTCTTCAATAAAATCTCTAACTTTTGTACATGGCTAAAATGAAGTTAATTTATAATTTATATAGTATAAGCTTGAATTTATGTATATATATATAACATACTTATGTAAAGTTAAATATATGTTTTTATAGTTTAATGTTTCCGTATTTGTTATCGGTTTCCGATCTGTACCGACATGTTTCCGTCCGTATTGTTCCGTTTCCGGTTTTCCGATATTTCCGATATCGTTTTCGTTTCCGACTTTACCGTTTCCGATTTCGTTTCCGAGAAAAATATGGTTACGGAAATGGTTGAGGCTGTTTTCCGATCGTTTCTGACCGTTTTCATCCCTAGTTATTTATGTCCATTGCAATGCTCACCCACAAAATGATGGGTCCATCCTAATTTCAAAAATGGTACGTATCCAATTGCAAAGTACAAGTAATCCACTTATATCTTTGTGTTCTTCTATTGATCTAAACCCAATCCATGAAAGATGCATGAATCCTATTTAGCATATATGCACTAGCAAGAGAAGTAGCACACACCATATCCAATCTCCTTCTCCTTCTCTTACTAGAAAATTTTCAATTCAAGATTGTAAACCTTTAATCTCATATACGAAAAATTTTAACTTAGATTTGAAAACTTTCAAGTCAAATCGATCTTTCAATTCAGATATGAAAACTTCCAACTCAAATTTGAAAACTTTCAAATCAAATTTGAAAATTTTAAATTCTGATTTAAAAGTTTTTAAAATTTGAGTTGAGAATTTTGAATTTTTTAGATGAATGTTTTGAAATTTGAGTTCAAAATTCGAGTCGAAAGTTTTCAATATATTGTTATGAAATTTGAGGTAAAAGATTCAAACTCTAAAATACATTAGAAAAATTCACATAAAAATAATCAACGTTGTACGATGTAGATGCGTCCGTAATGGAGATGGTGCGTATACCAAATAGGTGGCCCCCTAAAAGATGTGGTAGATCCACAGATAGCAAAGGCTAATCTTACCAAAAAAAAAACAATACAAAAAAAACAAAAGGAAAAGGATGAGCTATAATTATGAGGCACTAGGAATTTAATATGTAGAGGCAGGAGTGTACGCAGTTTTATTTTATCATAAAAAAATTATTTCGCAATCGATCCACTATATCCTTGTTTATTTGTATAAAGCATGTGTTCTCATGAGGCAGTTATATTCTCATCATCTGGTGCTGATTCCTGAGCAATGCACGTGATTTCTCGATCGGGGATACTTAGATTACTGCGCATTACCAGGGGCGCATGGTTTCAACTTTCAACCTAGCTCATCGCTTAAAGAAAGTGACACGCTCACTTTCTTCATAATTAATTATCTGACACTAATTGTCTTGGTTGCCTTAGGGTTCTTTCATTATTTGTAGATTCATGTGTATCACAAGCATCCGGACTATTATCTTCCTCCTGAGCATTGGGCCTTGGCTGTTCCTAGGAAAGCAAGCCGGAGGGAGAGATATTGTTCGTTGAGAAAGAGGATGAAAAGAGGACAAAATCTTTACCTCGTTTTTATTGATAGAGCAGGGGTTTGAGGAAGACGGTGAAGACTGGCTGAGAGTAGAGAGCAGGGTTTACCTTTTTCGCTTTGCAATTTAAAACCACTCCTCACCGCGTTACCAACAACTCTCGGCCAGCTTAGTAAAAAGGCTAAAACCAATAATTGACTTTTACAAACCGGTCACCGACAGTTTCAAAAAATTGAGCGGTTAATTTCTTAAAAGAAAAAAAAAAGATCGGTTTTGTTAACTCAGATATAGAGAGAAGCAGGCCTTTCAAAGGACTGTTGGATGATATCAACGTTAGATACCAGGATGTTGATTTAATTATAGCAAAGGTTTCCTTTTAGTATCTCAGATATCAAATTTTAAATTTCAATTGTTTGGCTGAAAATATATGGATTTCCATGCATTGAAATCCATATTAAAAAATACTTATATATGCGAATAAAACTTAAAATCCGGAAAAACTTTTTTTTAACATGAAGGAAGAAGTAAATGTATGTCACATGGGCGGAGTACGATGGATGTGTGTGTGACTGTAATTATGTAGTATTATTTCCTGCCGTACGAGGAAACAGCCAAGATTAGGACAAACTATATATAAGTAAACAGTGATTGATTAAGAAACTGTTCAAAAGGACCAGCTAGCAGCTGCTGAATATCTATGTTCAAGTGTTGACTATATATAATCTCGCAGAGCTTAATTAATTAACTAGCTAGCTAGTTGGGTCATGCAGAGGAAGCTCTCTGGATTTAAAATGTTGTGTGTAGAAACTCGCATCCAATTTCTCTACTTAGTTTAGGTTGATGTGTTGGCCAAATCCAACAAATTATTCGGCCAATTAGCGTCGATGCATGCATGTCACTGACCTGCACGATTAATTGACCGTTTACCTGTTCAAACTACAGTAATAATAATCCTATAAATAGCAACCCTCTCAGATTGCCAAGAGCATCAGTCGTGTGGCTCGTGTGTGTTAGCCACACGCTCACACATCGATCGTCATTGTCTTAGCTAGCTAATCTTTCTTTCTCCTCGGTTAATTATCCTTTGCATGCCCCTCTCCAAGCTCGGACGCTGCTAGCTAAGGTGAGAAACTGAGACATTAATTACGACATTGCTGCATGATATGGTTAGAGATTAACTTAGAACACAATCAAACTATTGTAAATGAATGAACTGATGTTTGTATTGTTGATTATTGCGTACGTGTGCAGATGGGTCCGAGGATTCAGCAGCTGGCCGCTATGTTGCTGGCGGCTGTCGTCGTCGTCGCAGCCGCCAGGGATGAACCTGCAGCAGCAAAAAACTACCAAACTCAGTGGGATACAGTGATGTCAATACTTAACTGTAAGAGTGATTCGTTGATCCCTAGCTACATCTGCAGCGTGATCAGCAAAAGTCGCTGGGGTTGGGCGTCAGATGACCCCGACGACTACACGCCGGCGGCAGATCCGTCGCCGACGGCGGCGAGGCCGTTGAGGAGCACGGCGGACCTACCCAAGTACGTGGACCCGCTGCCGCAGATGGCCAGGATCCAGGGCTACGGCATCAACCAGTTCGGCTTTCCCGTGCCCACCAACCTCACCATCGGCATGTACAACAAGACCTGGGTACGTTAATTAATTACTCGCAAATAAATATCTAAGTAGGTTTTAGTATATTATTAAAAAAAGTACTGTTAGATATTCATGGTCAAGCCTCGTTTTTTTTTTGAACGAATGTCAAGCCTCGTTTTTGAACAGTGAAACAACAAAAAGTGTACAATACAGTTTAAATTTAAGTTGAAATGTTAAACAAATCGTTTGCAATGTATGTATATGTGCAGCAATTCCACCGCGACATGCCGCCGACGCCGGTGTTCGTGTACGGGCAGTCGCTGCAGACGGCGACGTTCCCGGGGCCCACCATCGTGGCGCGCTACAACGTGCCGCTCTACGTGACGTGGGAGAACCACCTCCCCGACGCCCACATCCTCCCGTGGGACCCCACCGTCCCCACCGCCATTCCCAAGAACGGCGGCGTCCCCACCGTCGTCCACCTCCACGGCGCCGCCCAGGCCCCCGATTCCGACGGCCACGCCTTCGCCTGGTTCACCCGGGACTTCGCCGAGAACGGCAGCACATGGACGCAGAAGACCTACACCTACCCCAACGTGCAGCCGGCGGCCGGCAACATCTGGTACCACGACCACGCCCTCGGCCTCACCCGCGCCAGCCTCCTCGCCGGCCTCCTCGCCGCCTACATCGTCGAGTGGCCCGAGCTCGAGATGCCCTTCAACCTCCCCTCCGGCGAGTTCGACCTCCACCTCGTCATCGCCGACCGCAAGTTCAACGTCGACGGCACCATCTTCATGGACACCGTCGGCGCCGTGCCATCCGTCCACCCGCAGTGGCAGCCGGAGTACTTCGGCGAGGTCATCACCGTCAACGGCAAGGCGTGGCCGTTCCAAGCCGTCCAGCGCCGCCGCTACCGCCTCCGCATCCTCAACGCCAGCAACGCGAGGTACCTCAACATCAGGTTCTCCAATGGTCTCCCCTTCACCGTCATCGCCTCCGACGCGACGTACCTCTCCCGCCCGGTCACCGTCTCCAACCTCCTCCTCTCCCCGGCCGAGATCTTCGACGTCATCGTCGACTTCTCCCTCGTGGTGAACCCCAACGCCACCGACATCGAGTTGCTCAACTCGGCGCCCTACCCGTTCCCCACCGGCACTCCGGCGAACGCGACACTCGACGGCAAGGTGATGGCGTTCAATGTCTCCGCCAAGTGGCAGGTCGGCGACGACATGCCGATGCAGGAGCCGGAAAACTCGACGGTGGTGCCGGAGATCGGTGTGCCGTTCGCGAAGGTGACGGCGCTGCCGCCGACGATGAAGACGAGGTACATCGTCCTGTACGAGAACATGACGAGCAACGACCCGAACACCGCCAAGACGATGAACCTCTACATCAACGGGCTCCGGCTGGAGGATCCGCCGACGGAGACGCCGATATCGGGGACGACGGAGCTGTGGCACGTGATCAACCTCACCCCCGACAACCACCCGCTGCACCTCCACCTCGCCGAGTTCCAGGCCGTCCAGATGCTGCAGCTCGTCGACCCGGACACCTTCAAGAGCTGCATGCTGAAGCACAACGACACCTTCGCCTGCAACCTCGACCAGCACGCCGTCGGGGCCCTGCAGCCGGTGCCGGAGGAGGAGAAGACGTGGAAGAACGTCGTGAAGATCCCGCCGGCGTACGTCACGTCGGTGGTGGTGGCGTTCAGGCTCGTCCACAACAACATGCCCTACCCCTTCGACGCCACGGCGGCGCCGGGATACGTCTATCACTGCCACGTAAGCGCCACATCATGCTACTTTCGTGCATGCCATTCTACTGCTTACTCCATTTCAAAATAAGTTAACCTTCTATGAGATGTGATATTAACTTATTTTGGAGGAGAGTAAGTACTAGGTTATCCAGTGGCTCTATAGTCTAATCGAAATTATTTTCTAATGTAATTTGCAGATCCTGGATCACGAAGACAACGCCATGATCAGGCCACTCACGCTGCTTCCATGAACAAGACTGCACACTGTACGTGGTGGTTGATGCATGAGGAGATCAAGATGCCTCACCAGGATTAAAAATTATGAGCATTTCTGTTTGGGTGAAAGTTAATTATCGCGTTATCCAAGTTATTTTACTATAGTTGTCAACCCGTGCATTTGTATGGGGGTATTTGTTACATGTTGGTGGCCATGCATGGTTGTCTCCATTCGGATAGGATAGCCTATGCTTTGTGCCTTTGTTGTACGTTTGCCTTGTGATCCCTTCCCTTAATAAAATTTGGCCGGAGTTCCTCCGCCGGCCGACCTGCCGATTCTGTCATGTGGCAATTGTGACACGTACTTTGCAGATGAATCTTTTGAAAGTTACAGGTAAACCTTGTTTCTATAGTACACAATACAAAATAATTTAACTTGTTTATAGTCCTAAAATTTCAAAAAGGTACAAGTTATAAAAGTTTACAACATTTGAAGTCTATTCAAACTTAGAATGCAATCAGTAACGGAGGACCAAGACGAGCACACTTGGTGGGCCTTCTCCTGTGCCGCGTCTGGGCTGATGGGCCCTTGAAGTCATCCGGAACAGCCAAGCCCTTCCATAACGGCCCACAGGTCCACAGGCTTCACGGGATCGAGATGGCTATTGGGCCCTATTTAGCGCTCGCACCCTTGCTGCCGCACTCTGAACAGTACGTTCCCAGCAGTTGGGCCTTGAAACAATCAAATGGGCCACTGGAGCCCATGTAATGAACTCTGCCAGCAATGGACGCGCGGCGGCCCGCGTGCGTGCTATAGCAAATCTTGTGGGCCTTCCTCTTGCGGGTATGGGCCAAGCCCAACAGTCAATCAATATATCGGTCCAGCACTTGGGCCCTGACACAATCACATGGGCCTTTGGAGCCATGTGATTAACTGAACCCCGTTTAGCTCATATACATAGAGAAAACTGAAAAAGGCATATATGTATTAGCTCATCATTTCAATGAGTTGTTGCTTTCAAGATTATAAAATGTCGGCGGATGCCTTCATTAATTAGTTATTTCTTAAGAACATGGGAAATATAGAAAGAACATTAAAAGATTTTGGTGAAACACGAAAGTAATGAGCAATGCGACGACTCAAGCCTGTGAAGTAATGACTGAACAATTCAGTGACCGATCAGCTTATTTTGTTCGTTACATGTTGATATCGAGCATTTACACATCCCGACGCAACAGTTCAATGGAGATTATACGATCGTATGAACCGATTTTTAATCACACTGCATTGCGAATCGAAAATACTTATTAGCATATGCTTAATTAAATATTAACTATTATAAACTTAAAAATAGATTTATTTGAAATTTTAAAACAGTTTCTATATAGAAAAAATTTACAATAAATATACTATTTAACAGTTTGAAATATTTACTAAAAGAAAACGAGAAACTTGAAGTTTGGAGTTCGAACTACTACTTCCTATCTAGATTTTCTTATAATCCATCTCATATTGAGCATAAGGAGGCAGCATTGACTGCATATATACGATAATGGAAAACAGAGAGAATTCAATTCAGGAACAGCCGAGTGAGATAAAAATGAATGACGTATATATTATACTTTTCACTTCGAAGAATCAAGCGGATTACAAACATGTACCCCTCGATCAATCATCGACGCCATAAGAACCATATAAGACACACACAGAATGAATTGAATAAATATAAATTTAAATAACATAATATATATATATATATATATATATATATATATATATCTCTTTTCCCACGCAAATGGAAATCCTCGAATTATTGATCCTGGTGAGGCATCTTGATCATCTCGTCAATGTCAGCACCGTGTTTTATCGTGTTCATGCAAGCAACTTGAGTGGCCTGATCATGGCATTGTCTTCGTGATCCAAGATCTGCACATCAAATCACATTAGAACATATAAATTCGATTAGAAAAAAAATTAACCCAGTAAGATAGACACGTGGCATTTAACGTGGCGCTTACGTGGCAATGGTAGACGTATCCCGGCTCGGCGGTGGTGTCGAAGGGGTAGGTCTGGTTGGTGTCGACGAGCTTGAAGGCGATGACCACCGAGGTGACGAAGCCCGGGGGCACCTTGATGACGTTCTTCCACGTCTTCTCGTGGTCCGGCACCGGCACGACGGGGCCGACGGCGTGCTGGTCGACGTTGCACTTGACCGCGTCGTTGACCGCCGTCATGCAGTCGGTGAAGGCCTGCAGGTTGACGAGCTGCTGCATCTTCACCGCCTGGAACATCCCCAGGTGGATGTGCAGCGGGTGGTTGTCGCCGGTGAGGTTGATCACCTGCCACAGCTCCGTCGTGCCGGACTTGGGCGTCTCCGTCACCGGGTCCTCCAGGCGGAGCCCGTTGATGTAGAGGTGCGTCGACTGCCCCGTCGGCGTCAGGTACTCGTACATCACGATGTACCTCGTCATCGTCGTCGGCGGCAGCGCCGTCACGCTCGCGTACGGCACCTCGTGGTCCGGCACCGTCGAGTTGTCCGGCGGGTCGAGCGGCCCGTTCGGCTGGACGATGAACTTCATCACCTTGCCGTTGAGCGGGCCGGGGGCGGCGCCGGTGGGGAACGGGTAGGGCGCCGAGTTGAGCAGCTCGATCTCGGCCGTCGGCGACTGGGAGAAGTCGACGACGACGTCGAAGATCTCGGCCGGGGAGAGGAGGAGGTTGGAGACGGTGACCGGCGCGGAGAGGTAGGACGCGTCGGAGCCGACGACGTGGATGGGGAGGCCGTTGGAGAGGGAGACGTTGAAGTAGCGGGCGTTGCTGGCGTTGAGGATGCGGAGGCGGTAGCGGCGGCGGTGGACGACGAGGAACGGCCACGCCTTGCCGTTGACGGTGATGGCCTCGCCGAAGTACTCCGGCGCCCATTGCGGGTGGATGTTGGGCGCGACGCCGGTGGAGTTCATGTAGAGCGAGCCGTCGACGTTGAAGCTCCGGTCGGCGATGACGAGGTGAAGGTCGTCGTCGTCGCAGGGGAGGTCCATGGGGGTGTCCACCTCGGGCTTCTCGATGACGTAGGCGCCGAGGAGGCCGGCGAGGAGGTTGGCGCGGGTGAGGCCGAGGGCGTGGTCGTGGTACCAGAGGTTGCCCGGAGGCTGGACGTTGGGGTAGCGGTAGGTGGCCTGGGTCCAGGCGGGTCCCTTCTCGGCGAAGCCGGCGGTGAACCAGGCGAAGGCGCTGCCGTCGGACTGCGGCGGGTGGGCGCTGCCGTGGAGGTGGACGACGGTGGGGACGCCGCCGTTCTTGGGGATGGCGGTGGGGACGGTGGGGTCCCACGGAAGGATGTGCGACGCCGGGAGGTGGTTCTCCCACCTCACGAACAGCGGCACGTCGTGCCGCGCCATGATCGTCGGCCCCGGGAACGTCGCCGAGTCCGGGCACTGCCCGTACACGAACACCGGCGTCGCCGGCAGGTCGCGGTGGAATTTCTGCATGCATCATGCAACCATCCCATTTTTTATTATTTTTTATTTATTTTACTGTTCAATTAATTGATTCAATGCATTAATTGTATTGTCATATCGACCCTGATTAGAATAATCCTACTGTGTGAAGCTAGCCTAACACATGCATTTTGGGAATACTGTACTTGCATCACTCAAGTCTAACTAACTAATCATGAATTGATGTGACCTGGATTGGCTGTTTGGGCTAAAACCAATTATTTGAGCTAGTAGGCACCACCGACGACATGATCAAAGTACTAATTTGTTTTCTTCTGTTTCGAAAAAGAAAAAAAAGGCATTCGCCCCAAATTTGTGCCGACCAAAAATGTACTACCAATCATTTCTGCTACAAAATTAGTACTCCTTGAAGATTTGAAGCTAATCCCCAGAGGTCAAATTAAGTGTTGAGTTGCATATATGAGTACGCAATTAGTGCTCCTAAGTGCAGCTAATTAACGTACCCAGGTCTTCTGGTACATGCCGATGGTGAGGTTGATGGGCACGGCTTGGCCGCGCTGGAATCCATAGCCACGGATCTTGGCCATCTGCGGCAGCGCGTCCACGTACATCTGCAGCGACCCGGCCACCCTCTGCAGGTCCGCCACCGTCACCGCCGCCTGCGCCGCCGCGACATTGCCGGCGACACCAACGACGACCACCACTACAGCCACCACCAACGCCACGACCCTCGCTCGATTCTCACCCATCATCTGCACCCAAAATCAAATCATTTGTAATCATGCAGCAAACTGATGTAATCAATGTACTGCACTACTGCTAGCTGATTAATTACTGGTTAATCACTACGTATATATCTCACCTTAGTTGCTTGTGGACGAACAGATGAAGCAGCTGGAGAGGGGCATGCAAAGGATAATAGACAATTAGACAGTGGCGTGTGGCTAACACACGAGAGACACACGACTGATGATGATCTTGGCAATCTGAGATGGGCATGTATTTATAGGATGAGACTGAGTAAGTAAACGTCTAAACGTGCAGGACAGCGAGATGGATGGATGGATGGATCGATCGACCGACGACGCAACAAGCTGAATAGTTAGTTGGAGACGGCCAACCCAACCTAAACTAATTAAACAAACTGAAAAAAATAAGCTGTGCATTCTAGCAAGCTGCATGAGAGCTTCTACACACAGGCCATTTTAAATTCAGAGCTAGGGATGCCGGATGCAAACCCAACTAATTAAGCTCTCTGAGATGTATGGTCAACACTTGAACACATATGTACACCAGCTGGTCCATCTCCATTTGAACAGTTTCTTAGTTACTGATACTGATTACTTTGTCCTATTCCTTGTCAGCTTTGTCCACACATCAATCAACCATGCCTGTCTCATCAACCGAAGAACAACCGTTGAATTGTTCAAACTTTAAAGTACTACTAGTAGTAGCTACTTGGAGAATTAACATGCGTGAGCCAGTGATCTTGGCGTTGTTTCAGCAAACATTACATATTTACAGTAGTCACACATCGTACTGCATTTGTGCACTACACATGTGGCAGCTATGAGCACGTTGATAGTATAATACTACATTATATACTACATGGTACATGATCAAACATAATGTTGATAACAATTATTAAGCTGGCCAGATTGGTACCTACTACCAATAGTAAGCTCTAATTAACATCAATCACGTTACACCTCCCCCTGATCAACCCATGAGACTAAAGGACTGCACATTTCCACTATCATACCAATAATATGCATTAAGAAGTCAAGGATCGATCAATTACCTCCTAACTACTCTCACTATTTTACAACAGGCATGCACTAATTATAATTGTTCTTGCACAGCGTGCTACTAGCTAGCTAGCCACTAGCAACTTGGTGTGATAGATGGTGTGACATGGTGTGTTCTGATGAAGATTCTTTTGTTGAAAAGCAAAAAAACTTAATCTAGGCATGTACAATGTATAGCCTGATCAAAGCTGTTAAGATCCAATGAAAACGCAGGATTCGTTGACATTCTACTGCATTTTTCCATCGACTTTGTTGCCAATTGGATCGAATCTGTAGCAGATCCGGCGTTCCAATTCACATTATTCAATTATTCTTAGCTGTTTGGCATATATATCATTGGATACAAGTAACATGCAAGTTGCCACAAAAATGTTCGACAAACGTGGAATTGGTTGCAGCGATCGAAGATACACAGATATACGCATGTACTATTTGTACAAACAAGTACATATCTATCCATGATTTGATCAGTTAGCTACCGTTAATTTCAAATAAATTAGAACAATAAGGTTATCCGTCGTCAAAGAATCTGAGTTGCACGTCAGGTAAGAATGCTAGCTCTTCCAAAAGTTGGCAATGGTTGTTGGTGAATCTGTGGGCAATGTTCCTAGTTTCACTTTCACTAACTGAATATGCCTATGGACGACTACTTTTTCAGTTATGTTTTGCCTATATAGCGTGTGGTTCGTGTCTTCAGAGAAAGACAAATCTCTTATCTTCAGAGAAGTTCAGAAAGACAGAGGACTAGATGGTTTACGTACACACCATTTGCGGTGCAATTAAATAAGTGCAAAAACCAAAATCAAGGAACACGATAGACCCTGTTGATGGTGACTAACAAATAGTAAAATCGTACAGAATTAGGGACAAAACAATAACAAGGACCCGCTTTGCAAATCATTGGACTCAGGTCAGAGGTACTAATCAGCACTCAACTCACAGTGCAATATACACATACATAGAATAGAATTTGTCCATTGAGAATACTAGCTTAATTAGAATAAGTTGGCTACACCCCATAGGAAGGCAGAAAGAGGGAGCAGATCAATCGGTTGCTTAACAAACTTTTTAGAAAAATGGAAGAGTATAACACATCTGGCCTCTGCATCATAGATGCACACAAGCATCAGATGGAAGTGGGATATATAAAGAATTAGCAGTGATAAACTGATCAACTGCATAATATATATTTCATAGTGAGGAATTAGAGAACAAAAGAACATTAGTTCATCAGCAAATTAAAATGACTTCTCTTTTCTTATCTGTGGATGGATCTCTGTATCTGAATTGGAGACATTGTTTTCTTTTCTGACGGAACACAACGCATGGCAGTTTTTGTCTTTGGTTATACCTGCTATATGCATGCGCGTGAACAAGCGAAATACTGAAAGCAACCATACGCGAATACGGCGGCGCGAGTAGCAGTAGATCAGTAGGCAACCATAGCAGCCAAACCAAGCTATCTACTGTAGCTGATCCATTGTCCTCTCGTGACAGGAATAGTTGCATATTGAAACGTACACCTCAATTGCGACTTTGGGCCCTTTGCTAGGGTAAATAATTAGCAAAGCAAGCAAGCTTTGGCAGGATTGCAAAGACCTCCTGCCTTCATGGTCTCAGGGAGCAGCTGTGAGCCTGTAACCATTATGGCCAGCATTATCCTACTAATTTAATTTGATTTTGTGAAATTCAGAAGGATGGTTCGAAATGTTGGAATTAGTTGATATTTGTCAGTGAATCTGTGTGCAGCGTCCCTAGTTTCGCACGTAGAAATTAACCAGTGATCGATGGATGCCTGCCTATTCTTTGGCCACAGAGAGAGAGGCCTGTAGTAGATTGTTAGGTAAGCAAACCGAACTCTCTACATGTAGGAATACAGGCATACACACACACCGTTAATTTAATTTCGTAGGTTCAAAGTGAACGACCCCAGCTACCCGGCGAGCATGTTGATTCGATCTGACGAGGAGAATGTCAAAATAATAGATCGAGAGAAGTAAGCAAAGTGGGCCGTGCAAGCAAATCAGTGGTCACGGACTCGTTAGTCAGAGTAATCAGTAATCAACGGTACAATATTATTATATACACGCGGAGTTTTGATTAGTGCCGAAACAACCATATGTCCATATGCAAACATAACAAAGGCAACAACCTCATGTGTGTATTCATGCTGCAAACCATCGACATTTCAGAGGCTAAACAAGTCGTAAGATCATATACAGCCGCTCAACTATGTCTATACCACTGGTGGAGAAACCCTTTATAGTCCCGGTTAGTAACCCCCCTTTAGTCCCGATTTCCAAACCGGGAGTACCAATCCGGGACTAAAGATCGCTATCTTTAGTCCCGGGTAAAATAACCGGGACTAAAGATCGATCTTTAATCCCGGTTGGTAACAGATGGCTCAGCCACGTGGCTGAGCCATCTTTAGTCCCTAAAGATCGAGCTGACCTTTTTTTTTCATGGCCCTGTTGCTGCGTGGTTTATATATATATATAAACCATGCATATATATGTTTCAATACATATATATGCATATATATATATATATATATATATATATATATATATATTATATTATATGTATATATGGTTCAGTAGATATGTATATGCATAATATATATGTATATATACATATATATGTTATGCAAATGCATATGTGTGTGTGTGTGTATATATATATGACCAAAATATATTTACATTATAGAAAATGTGTACACATGCATATAGAAACATATGTAGTCATGTATTAATTACAATCCATTATATGTCCTAGCTAGCTACGATTAAGGACCGGTGAATTGTGTTTCCGTCGTAGTAGAATTTACCCTTGGGATCAAGGATTTCTTCGTTGATGAATCCCATGAGTTGTTCTTGAACCGCCGCGATAAATTCCTTGTGTGTGGTCAGGTTATCCCTCATGCGAATAAACTATATGAATGTATGAAATTGATTAGTAATTAAACAAGAAATTGTTACGTAATGAAATTTTGAATTTATTTGTACGTACATCGAGCTCTCTTGTGGTGATGATTTGGTCTGCAAGGCAGTGGCAATACTCGCACACGTAGTAGCCGCACAAATTAGTTCCCTGCTTTTGCTTTGCGCACTACAAATAAATGACAAATTAACGGCGTGAGATCTAATTAATATACACTTGTATGTATTAATTTGAATCGGAGAAATATAAATGTAGAGCATGTGTACTGACAGGAAATTTGAACCTCCGCCTAAGTCTTTCTCTCCAGTTGCCGCGGACCAAATGACGGAACCGATACCAAGCCCTACATGGAGTTTAAAGATATGATTCGTAGTAGAAATAATTAACATAACAAGAATTTCTTAATTAACAGAGGAACTTATACCAGTACCTGTCTATAAGTTCGAAAACCTTGTCAAACGTAGATTCTTTTTTATCCATTGAGTCATATACGTTGACGGTGCAGGCCGACAGGTCGAAGAGTAAAAGCACCCAGTGGAATCTGCAATGTGCGTGGGATGCATTACATATGAAACACTTAGCAAGTTCGTATGGGAATGAAATTTGGTATGTAGGAAGACAGTAAAATTAAACTAACTCTGTGTTGTACGGCAACAGTATGAACGTCTTGTAATGCTGCGCCTTCAGGAGATGGACGAGATTGTCCTCTGTTTCTTGTGGATATTTGTCACGCCCCGAGCTAGTCCCGACTGGAATTAGCCCGTGACGCTCCAAATTAACCTGTTAATCGATACCAGTCCCAGGAAACAGTGCTGGTATCACAGGAAGATAGAATATCACAGCAACAGAGGCCTCTTTATTATAGAGTAGGAGTACAGTCATGTTGTGTAGCGCCCATTCCGTCGTGGCGCCTAGCGGGAAAATTATCTCCGAAAAAACCTAATTGCGAAATTTGTTTCTTTGATTGTTGTCTAGTGTCTGTGCCTTCTCAAGATCTCAATCCCCGATCTATCGTCGAGTTCAATTCCGAATCCAATTCCTTCCAAATCAAATTCCTCCGCAAAAGTCTATTTTGCCTCCCCCGAGGTCGATGGGCCGAATATCGCTCGGCCCATCCCTCTCTTCCCCGGCCCATCTCTCCCTCTCTCCCGGGCGCGCTCTCTCTCCCTTTCTCTCTCTCTCTCTCCCTTCTCCCCTCCGGCGCGCTCCTTCCCTCCCCCCCCGCTCAGCCTCGCCCGCGCGCTGCTCGCGCGTGCGAGAGCCG